GCTGATTTGTCTTTACTCTTTGTCTTTTAACCTGTCATCTAGATCATTTGTACCTCCATATATCCTTTGCCCTCTTTTCCAACTTACTCTTTTTACTTTTTATAGTGTTCAACCTACTTTCTTTGCCATTTGTGCCACATTGTTTGTCTTGTCCCTTGTTCTGCCCTGCCTCCCTCCGTCTGTCTCCCCACCCTCCCTTCTGCCATTACTTCCCCGCATCCCTCCACCCCTCTTTCCTCCCTTTCTTCCTGCTCTCTCTCTCTCTCTCTCTCTCTGGCAGGCCACCCACACTTCCTCCAACATGCAAGAGGGTTGGAGAGAGAGAGAGGAAGAGAGATGAATAGACAGGGAGAGCTAGATCTATAAATATAAAAAGGCCAAGCACTGTTACAACAATCAGTAAGCTCGACACCCGTTTATATATAGGCCAGTGAAACAGATTCTGTCAGATGTTTAAAAAGCCATTTGTATTTCTGAATCAATTTTTCTTTCACAGGGAAGATTCTAAAAGCAGGTGCCAGTGGCTGCCAGTCTTTCACAGCGTTTGTTAAAAGCACAAGTGTGAGTACAAGCACCCACACACCAGTGTTGGGCTTCCATAAGGCATGTGAAGCTTCCTAGATGAGACATGTCTACGTGTTATATGACCAAGTAATTATCCTTTCCAACAGATGAATAATCGAAGTATAAACGGTTCAGAAACAGATTTCATCAGTGTTCACATGTATGTACCAGTAGTAGCATTAAACGTAGACAGCTTGTTTGGGAAGTAGCCCATTTCTCATGAAAGTACTAATATTTATGCCGTGTAATTTAAACAGTCAAGTTTCATATCAAATCAAATCTTACGGCCCGTCCACACGGCGGCGTGCGTTGAAGCTTCCACGCTTCTCCTCATTCACTTTGAATGGGGTGACGTCATGCTTTGCCGAACTGCATTGTGGTTCCGTCAAAAGTTGAGAAAAGTGCCAGTACAAGCTCTAGCCAATCAAACCGCGTGCTTGTGTGTCCGGGGCGGGAGATTCATGTGATTGGTTGTTGGTCGAGTTTCAGACACGCCCACCGTCAAGCTTCAACGCACGCTGCCGTGTGGACGCTGCGTTACTGCTATAAATAACATTTCTCTCTGAGTTCATTATGTAATATTATACATAATTCATTACCTTCTTCTTCATCTTCACATTCTTGAAAATGGCGTGCACCCTCCACGTCTTGGCAAACATGGCGCCAAAAGCTGTCGTGTATCCGACGATGAGGATCCATGTGCGCACCTATAAGAACAGCAGAAACACACATAATTAAAGTGTTGATCAAGGCTTAAAACAAAATCTGATCTGACAGGTATTTGCATTTCTCTGAAGAAGTTAATTCAAAATAGCATTGTAAAGTGTTCTAAAAATAAGTAGCTGTCAGATTTATTTTTATTTTCCCGGTGTGGAGCTGTGAGAGAGCGTCCTGGACCAGCTGTCCCACTCCTGAGAGCATTTCATCTTAATGAGAAAGAAAAAGTAGACCTTTTACTGCTTTAGCACAAGGGACACTGCTGACGTGTTTTCAAAGCTCAGAATTGGAATAAAGTCTTTGAACTCCTAAAATAGCTACAGCATGTGTCTGTATACTGGGTGTGTTTGACTGCTGCATGTGTACCTGTTTGTTTGTATGTGTATTTGTGTGAGCCCCTTCTGCACCACACATACTTTAAACCCTTTACACATTTACACCTGGCTATCTTCACCTGTCATTCTCTAAATAAATAATAAAGCCGAGCAGGGACAATGCTCTGGGTAAAGAAGACAGAAAAAAACAATTACACCATCTATTCTCAGGGAGACCAGCACGTATTGATTGGTGGTGAATGGATCAACCTTTGTGGTCCTCTGCAGCGCGTCTGAAGTGACACGCTCTGTTTCGACTCTGCAGCAAAGCTTCAGCCAGGTGGTGGCAGCTGGAGACGTGCCCTGCCTAACATTACGCTGGTGTGCATGTTTGTGTTACTCTCTGTGTGTGTGGGGGAGTGGCATCTCAGTGGAAACCGCTTATCACTGTAATCAAAACTCTTTAATTAATCCAGCATCTACATAGTCACATAGTAATGCTACCTGGGGGAGACACTTAATGTGTCCCATATAGAGAGCGGGGGAGATTCAATCAGTTATCTCTTTGAGTTAGTCACATGTTATAATAGGATTCTCCACATTTCAGCTATTGTAATTACGGAGAGTCAACCCTAACTTCCTTATTTTATGTTTTAGTAAAGTGTTGGGCTAACTCACAGTGCAGAGGGTCTCAAATTCTTTGTCAGAGACGAAACCTCCATCCAGGCCAAACAGGAAGATGGAGGCGTAGGAGAGCATTCCTCCGAGGATGATCAGGTTGTTCATGTAGGGACTGGACATCTTGATTAGTCTGGAAGAGAAGATTATATCAGAATAGATTAAAATATAATTTATCTGTGGATGAGAGAATGATAATGTGCCTGCAGACAGTTTAAGGTTAATCATTATTTCACTTTATTACCATTAAATCTCTCCTCTTTCTCTTTACCTCATTTACCTTATCGCTGCACTGTACTTTTATCTATTTCACCCTCACAAGCTAGCCTTCATCCTACCCCTCCCTCCCTCCCTCCCTCCATCCTCCTCCTCACAAAGCCGTGCTGCATCAATGGCGAGTGCTCACCTGTGGTTGCGGTTCTTGATGTTGAAGAACAGGAAGGCCCCCGCCATGAGCATGCCCAGTATGGTGATGGTGGACAGGATGCTGTAGAGCGGAACGTTGATGTGGCGCCGCTGCAAACGCACAAACGTACGGTCCTTGGGAGGCTCCACGCCTAACAGGAAAGGAAGGGATTTAAAAAAGATTTTGTTAAAAGACAATCTTCAAAAAATGGGGTGTTCAATCTTTTTTCACCGAGGGCCACATACAGAAAAATATACGAAGGGCTGGTTCACTCATTAGAGGTGAGGTATATTGCCTCATAGGTTCAGTTGGAAGATAGAAAAATCAATCCAATGTAGGTAAATTATTCTTTACACTTGAAAATGCTGTTAGAAAAAAACTGCCTAAATCACCGCTCTCCATAGGGTTTCATTTATTTTGTTAGCAGCTCATTCCTTAAAACAGAAGCTTCAGATTGCTTATAATAAGAGGAAATATGAAGGGTATGTTTCAAGGTTGTTATGTACATTTGTTATTGGGCTTTTTTCTTATCAACTTAGATTTCTTAGAACAGGGGTGCCCACACTTTTTGGGCTGGTGAGCTACTTTTGAAATGACCAGCTCACCGAGGTCTACCAACCAAAAATAAAATCCCAAATTGCAAGGGTTGCTGAATAACACGTTTTATTTATACATGGGATAATAGGGCTGCAACAAACGACTAATTTGATAATCGATTAATCTATCGATTAATGAAACGACTAATCGACTATTCAGAATATTACTGTATGCCTTGCACAATTTCTCAAACGCTCTTATTTAGCCATCAACTTTTAGATTTAGCTTGAGGTTGTTTTAGGCATGTGGAAACTAACAATGAAGACAATAAAGATGAATACTTGATTCAAAAATACATATATTATTAAATTAACAAATTGTGAACAAAACTAACATTGCTTTTTATTTAAATTAAATAAATAATATTTCACATCAAAAGAAACAACAATGTTTTAACAAATCGTATTAAATAATCTGATGACAGAACTGTGAACAGAATAGCTGAAACTTTAACAAAATAAAGAGTAACTCAGTTTCCTCTAACCATTAACCCATGTTTGTATCATTGAGTTAACTGCGTGTGTTGCTGCTAGCATAAATAACACCTGACGTGGAAATGTTACTCGTGGATGGGGGGGCTGCAGAGCTGCTAGAAAGACAGTCGAACCCGGTGCATTCCTCCGTCTGGATGTGGTGCACTTTTGCTAAATGTTTAGACACATTGCTCGTGTTACCGCCCTCACATGCTGAACTCTCTTGGCAAGGAGCATTGTCCACCTCAAGACGGGTAACCACACCTTGGAGCGCTTCTCTCCGCCATCTCCTCCGTGTGTTGCTGCTTGTAGCAGCCGCGTGTGTGTAAACTGCCCCGCCCCCTCGCACACAGACGGGGGAGAGAGATCTCGTCTCGATTGGAAAGATCGAAAATACACCGACATTTGTTTGTCTTTTTGCATGTTAGAAACGAGTTGGCGACACTAAGACTGCGAGATAATGTTTGTGTAGCAATAATACATGACCTTTCTCAACTCGCTACTCGGAGGGAAGTCGCTGTCACATGCCTTGTGAACACTCCGATAATGCCTCTCCACGTTACCTTTCTTTGGCAGAGCGACGCTTGCTTTACAAATAAGGCAAATAACCTTTGAATGTGACATCACAAACAAATATTCTTCCTCCCATTCTGGGTGGAAGTGGTTTGTCTTTAGCTTCTTGCTCGGTCCCGCACTCATTTTGTTGTTTGTCTCTTTAATTTAATTTGAGTTTTCCCGGCACTTGACTGATTTTGTATCGCTTTGCATTCTTGGTTAACAGACTGGAAAGCGATAGGTCGCTTTTTCTGTCAATCAAGTAAACTCCTGAATTAAGTGGCAGGGAGGCCAAGGGAGGAGGGATCAAACCCTGTTTTGTCTATTTTAACGGAACAGGATTTTTTTTTTTTATGAATGACTCGCGATCTACCAGCATTGCCCCCGCGGTCGACGTACTGGGCACCTCTGTCTTAGAACATGTTTTCAACTTTAATTGACTGAATTTATTTTTGAAAAGTGGGTTTATTAACACATGAATACTGTGTGATATATTTGAACATATATATTTAAGAAGTACAATATAAGACAAGCAGATGTTTATTTTATTTAAGTCATTGTACATTTTTTATTTGCTGAGGGCCGATTCAAAATGGTCCGCGGGCTGCATTTTGGACACCCCTGGTCTAAATCATCTCAAATGTTTTATGGTATATCATCATGTCTACAATTCCAGAGTATTAGTACAACAGTGGTTTTCTAGATATTTTTCCATTTAGGTTACTCCCTTCATACAAAATTGTTTCTCTTCAACCACAAAAAAGTATCAATGGAGCAGACCTCCAGCTATTTGAGACCAATTTCCTGGCCCTCGGTTTCCCCCAGTTGAGTGCATGTATCTCAATGCACCACAGTCAAGTTATTGCGGTTAGACACTGCACTTTCTTATCTTTTGCTCTATTTTTCTCCCACCAGTGTGCCAATCGATCGCACTGGCATCATCTTACACAGCTCCACTTACTGTGGTCAGGGAAGTGGAAACAAGCGTCTCAGATGTTACTGTCCTAGAGTTTCTTTATGTGGACGAGAAGATGGAGAAGTAGGAGAGTGGTGAGGGGAGGGGGGGCAATAGCCAGGGGGATCGAACAAATTATAAAGTATGTCAACACAAGCGGGATGGCTGAAAAATGGACGAGTAAATAATTTAGCTGGCGGATGAAAGTTGAGAGCAAAGGAGAGACTGAGTGGTGGTCGTGTCGGAGTGTGTCTGAGTGTGTTTGCTGGAGGGAGCAGGTGAAGGACAGATGAGAGCTGAGGTGGTAAGTGATGGGCCTTTAACATATATATAAACACACATTAGATGCATCAGGACAGTTTTCTTCTTCAGTGAGTTTTCCGTCCCTGAGTCACACACAAAAGCGTAAACACACTCAGACACATTCAGCCTTCTTCATACCTTGGAACCTTATAGAGTTGTTGATGAGGTCAAGCACATCAGCAATGGCGTTGTATTCTCCCACCTTCACCTCCCTGCCCTCTGTAACAAAAACACACACACATTAGAATAAATACGTGTTTTTAAACCACGCAAACTCCTTCTCTTTTATGCTTTTGACTGGTATTATGCATTCAAAGCCATTACAACTGCCTTTGAAGTCATCTATTTTAAGCCATCAGAGGCAGAGTAGGGTGGGTTATGATTTGCCATAGTAACAGAGTGTGTGTTTCTGGAGAACATGTATTTGGAACATGGTTATTGATATTTGATATATTGAAATATATATTTGAGATGTTTCCCTTATTACCACATGAGTTATGAAATGTTCCAGGTGGCCTGTTTAATATTGTAACGATAATGCTAAAACATTGTTCACTTATACAAAGTGCAGTTCATAAAATGGCTATAAATGAACAAGTGAATCTTATTCAAACTCATATTGGACACACAGTAAAGCATGGACACTTTAAGCAGAACAGTCAGGCACGGTCTTCAAATAAAGCTTCAAATATCAGGCAGATATTCCAAAACCCATTAGTAATATAACAAATTATTCCTAACATAGAATTTTAATGCACTCAGCTAGATTATTTTTTTTTGTAGCTTGAAGATAAAGCTTATTATGGAAGGGAAATGGTATTCCTGTTTTTTTACAGCCTTAATAATCAGTTTATTTTACCTCAAGGACATCTTAAGGGCAATAAAGACTTGAAATCATAGAAAAACAAGCTAACAGATAAAGACATTGGAAAAAATCTATTGAGCAAGGGTAAACTGGAATTGCACACTATGAGAAAAATGTCCAACTCGTATAGAAGGAAACAATGCATACATGCAATCAGAAGTCTGTATTGATATTGCAATATATATTGACTTTAGCGTGTTTTAGATACAGTCGTGGGATTTTACTCTGCAGTACTTCGCATCCTGCAAACCTCACTGTCTCTGTGGAGATCAGATGAAACACAAATATTTCAGGATTTTCCTCTAAGAAACAATGATAAGTCCCTCAGGTGGAATATTGAAGGAAGCTTGACCTTGCCAGACAAGCCTGGGCCTTCACTCTCCTGCCCTCATAAAGATTATTCACAGAGAAGAAGAGGATGGGAAGGGGGACAGAATATTCCTTTTTTGTAACCTCTACAAACAACTAGCAATTTATTCTGGAGTTCACGCACAAATCTATCTCTGCTCCTCTGTGTTATCACTGTTACAGGTCCATTGAACTCCTCAGCAGCATTGTCCTTGACGAGGAAAATGACAGATAACATCAGCTATTGCAGCATCACAGGGCACCGCGTCCCCCTCTCCGTGAAACACTTCATTTGTTCTCAATTCTTGCATCAAAGCATCAGCAAATGTTGGACAGATCTGTAGATTTAATGTGCATACACAATCAGGTGTTTTAAACTTCTCAGTGCTGAACGAGGATCAATAATCATGTTTCCCTTGACCACGTCCTTTGTTAGGACCTAAACAGCAGAAGGGATTGTATTTCAGCACTCCTCCTTTGAGATGCTAAAATACTGTTCTGGCACTCTATCCCCACAGGGACTATCGATGGCTGCCGGCCTGTTAAACTCAACCTTTAGCTCTGCCCTTGCGAAGACATTTCATGACTTTTAGACACATTCAATATCTGTAAAGTAACTGGAACTGCATATGGGACAATTTATAATTTCCTAACATGGCATTCTCATGACTAAAGGATTTAAGAATAAGGTTAGCTGCATTCTATGTTTTTATTTTACTGCCAAATGGATACACTACGTATTCTTGTTGAAGTGTTGTTTGTCAAAATGTACAATGAACGATTTTAGAAAACATGTTTTTCTGAATATATATTTTTGTGAACCGTGTTTAAAGATCTACATCTTCTATTGGAACAAAATGGCTTGGGGCTGAATGCCACACTCAGGAAGGGAAAGTATTATCTGCTGCAGTCCTTGGATTCTGTTTTTTTTAGGAGATTTCTTTACAATAAAGTAATACTGTACTGTATATAATTAGCCTCTCCCATTATTCTTGTTATTTTAAATTACTTCATTGCAAGATAACAGACAAAACCTTTCCAGGAAAACATAAAAAGAAAAACGAAAGAATGACAAAACACAGTCTGTTGAAAAGGAATACCTAGCACTATAAAAAACGACTCTTTCTGTTTCTAGTAATGTATAATAAAGGTTTGATTCCACTGGATTTGAATGAAAGGGATTTAATAGCTGGTCATGGTGGAGCACATTTTTACTTTTTAAAGATGATGATGAAGAAGATTTACAGCATTAAAATGAATTGAATTGTTTACGTGGTAGGTACATGGTAGGTTTTTAAGTCTTATCCTGCAAAGTAAGTGCACCCGGAGCGAATTACAATAAATCACTCTGGAAAGGAGGGGGGTAAAAGTATACAGTAGCGTAAAAATGTAACAACTCAGTTATATAGCAGAATTTAAGAACACAGCACTGGAGTGAATTGATTTAGCTTTTGCCTTGATAGGTTGTTTTTTGATGCATCTGCTATTTAATAACTGTCTGGAGCGGAGACACATGCTGGTTTAAAAGCTCATATGTCAAGGTTGTGATTCCCAGACCTCATTCATAGTATAACTCTCTAATGCTGAAAGCCAGATATGTTTTATCATTACATTCTGACCCGTCTGTGTTTGTAAATGTGATTGAATTCATTTATTTCCTCTATGCGGCTCACATTAGCTTGTCTTTGATCAAGTTCAAATGATTTTGTTTCATGTCAGATCTGTGAAATTCTAACATGGAAATAACTTGCTGCTTCATTTAAAAGCATTGGTGGTGCAGTTCAATGATATTCTTGGGAGCTATTTAAATTGAAAAGCTGTGAGAAGACTATCGCCTGCAGGGAAACTGACAGCAGAGAGGATGTTGCTATTTGAACTTCCTACAGTAATGAGTAAAAAAAGCAGTATATTAATACTTACTTGAGGGGTGTTGTAGATAGTAAATCCTATCATTTATCTCTAAAGATCCAAACAAATCCTAACCTTTTACGTACACATATCTCAACCTCACCTTATTGACAAATATACAATTGAAATTCTCCCCTTTTACAGAACGACAAATGCCACGTTTCCTTATCGACGCGCCTTTTAAGTGCGTTGATTTAAAATCTGTACTCAGTGGGACTGCGGCTGAGATCAAGGCCTCTGGTAGCGAGTTATCTCTCATCGCCATGAGAGACAGGGGGAATAAAGAGCCATGGAGGCCCTGACTAAGAACGCCTGACAGGGTGAAATGGAGGATCAGAGGCTGAGGACAGATGATAGGGTCATGTTGAGGATCACTGCCTTTTGAAATATTCTAGCTTGGGCTGTCCCTGCTCTCCTCTCCATCCAGCTCAGGCTCTGTGTGTGTCAAAAGGTTGACAAATTCCCCATACCTGACAAGTGAGGAAGAAGTGATGAAGTGAAAGTTAAGAAGGGGTGGAGCTTGATAGTGAGCGATAGCTGTCACAAGGGGGAGGATTTCGTTGGGGAAAGCGTTGGTGATGGAGTGAAGAGAGGGACCGGGAGCAGAGAAAGAGAAACTAAAGATTGAAAGACTTGAGTGTGTCTAATAAATTAGTAAATGAAAGTGTGGCTATGATTCAGGCTGGGAATTTGCCTAATCTTTTCTTAAAAATCTCTTCAAATCAAGCCCTAACACACATTTTAATCATGGTAACATTTCCTCCTTGCTTATCCAAAGCGGCCAGATCCTAATTTAGACTAAACTCTCCCTGTGTCTTTCTCTCACACAAGCACACTCCTCCTGCTGTTTTGTTTCATTACTACAGGTGACCTACAGGTAAACAAAGCAGGGTCATGCTCCTGTGTCAGTCGGACTCAATGTATTTCAAATGGCAGCTCAATCCATCTCTCTGCAGCTGTGTCTCAGTTCAATAGCACATGAGCAGGTTTTCCATCTCAAGCGTGTATCACAATTCTAATATTTCACAAAATCACAAAGAAAACTTTGGATGATTGATTTTTTGAGCTGCTATTGATGTATATTCTTGTCCAAGTATGCATTTCAAAATGGAAGAGAAGTGCTACTCACAGCTGTGGAAAAAAAAGAATTTAATAGTAGTTGTGCTTGAGGGGATGACTTTAAAAAATAAAAAGTTGAGCAGTCTTTGGAAGACTGTTTTTTTATGAAGTTTAATTGATTCTGTTCTTCCACTAACAGTTTAATTAATGTCAGTTTGTTGTTGCAAGGCACTGATAACTTGTTTATTTACTGCAAAAACAGGATGATTAATGGTATAAATGTGCAGTGTGTACAATTGCTAACTCATATGGAAGTAGGACACAGTGTCTGTCTCACTCACCACCCACTACCCTGATGGTTCAATTCTGTTTGTGTAACTTCTCGTCTTCCCTATACTATGCAACAATACAAACTCCTACTTTCGCACTGCCGAATTATTCATACATTTTATTCATTATGTCTTATGTTGAACACACAATATTTAAATGACTGTAAATATGTGGTTTCCTTTTTAGTCTCACCCAATGAGCCTGGGCTGTAACCAACCACACACACACACACACACACACACACACACACACACACACACACACACACACACACACACACACACACACACACACACACACACACACACACACACACACACACACACACACACACACACACACACACACACACACACACACACACACACACACACACACACACACACACACACACACACACACACACACACACACACACACACACACACACACACACACACACACACACACACACACACACACACACACACACAGTGTGATATATGCAGCCAGAGGGATGGAGTCCCTCTGCAGTGGAGGAGATAAGATGGGTAGTCAGAAAGTAGCGTACGGCTTCATGCAGTGGCTACATACAGTCGGGGGAGCCTGGGAGCTGGGAATCCCCTGCATAAAGATTCAATCTCTGTTTTTTTTTTCCCACTTAGCAACGCATGCTGGCTCAAAACCAACCTCAGGGTGATGCTGTGAGGACAGAGAGTACTGAGGCATGTTTTTATTTACAAACCTTCACAGTCCACACAGATATATCCCGTCACCACAGAGGAGATCAAGCACAGTGAAGCGCCATGGGCCTTGCACTTTTAGATTCACCCAACATGCACCCATACAGAGAACACATGCAACTCCATAGAGAAGATATGCAACTCCATGGAGATGCTTGTGGATGTTGTCCTCACTAAGACTACAGTCTAAAATGTTTTATGTTTACTGACAAACAACCCTTGCAGTCATGCAAAATAACCCTCTCCAGAAAAACAACTAATGAGATAAATGTGAGTACAAGGCTTCCCACTTCAAATCATTTAGCCTCCCTTGCCCCGTGTAAACTGTATGATTTTGCTGCAAGCTTTTCATACACCCTATTGGTCAGGATCCAGTGTATCAACCGTGGCAGCTTTTTGGTTTCAGAAAAAGTGTCTTTCCTACAAGCTGGGATAATCCTACAAAATGTCTTAAACAATTAACGGTTTTATTGAAAAGAAAAAAATTCAAAAGATTCAAACTAACTGTAGCACTTATCTTACTCCAGTGTGGAGTCACATCAAGAGCAAGTGGGAACATCTGGAGGTGTGACAGATATCAATATGAGAAAATACACAGGAGTTCTAAAATGACTGTGTAACCTGAAGAAAAAAATCGAGACAGGTTCATTTGAGGAGTGTCAGACATACCTTGAAACTGGTTGAATTTGATTGTGCCCATTCTCTCTCCGTTCCGAAACATGACTTGGCCCTAAAAAGGAAACAATATATAAATTATATATACCTTCAATAAAACATAGAACACTGTAAACACATACAGTTGCAAGAAAAAGTATGTGAACCCTTTGGATTCTCCACACATAGCGTTGTGTGTTCCTTCCAAACAACTCAACTTTGGTTTCATCTGTCCATAGAATATTTTGCCAGTAGTGCTGTGGAACATCCAGGTGCTCTTTTGCAAACTTCAAACGTGCAGCAATGTTTTTTCTGGACAGCAGTGGCTTCCTCCGTGGTGTCCTCCCATGAACTCCATTCTTGTTCAGTGTTTTACGTATCGTAGATTCGTCAACAGAGATGTTAGCATGTGCCAGAGATTTCTTTAAGTCTAGCTGACACTCTAGGATTCTTCTTCACCTCATTGAGCATTCTGCGCTGTGCTCTTGCAGTCATCTTTACAGGACGGCCACTCCTAGGGAGAGTAGCAACAGTGCTGAACTTTCTCCATTTATAGACAATGTGTCTTACCGTGGACTGATGAACATCAAGGCTTTTAGAGATACTTTTGTAACCCTTTCCAGCTTTATGCAAGTCAACAATTCTTAATCGTAGGTCTTCTGAGAGCTCTTTTGTGCGAGGCATGGTTCACATCTGGCAATGCTTCTTAAGAATAGCAAATTCAAAACTGGTGTGTATTTTTGATAGGTTAGGGCAGCTTTAACCAACACCTCCAATCTCGTCTCATTGATTGGACTCCAGGTTGGCTGACTCCTGACTCCAATTAGCTCTTGAAGAAGTCTTTAGCCTAGGGGTTCACATACTTTTCCCACCCTGCACTGTGAATGTTTACATGGTGTGTTCAATAAAAACATGAAAACATATAATTGTTTGTGTGGTATTAGTTTAAGCAGACTGTATTTGTCTATTGTTGTGACTTAGATGAAGATCAGAACACATTTTATGACCAACTTATGCAAAAATCCAGGTAATTCCAAAGGGTTCACATACTTTTTCTTGCAACTGTATAGTGAACACATTTTAAGTTAGAAAAACATTCTATCATGCTGAAGAAGATGAAGCGTGAGATTAGTTGTAATAAATGTATGCCCAGTGAATTCATGATGCTAGAGTGTTAGCAGGCGAAGAGCAGTCCTGGCTCCCACACAAACAGCATGTCATTTGATTGGAAGTGGGCAAATTTACCTGTTTATATAGAGGTAAACAAAATCATCTTCGGGCCCATTCATTTGCTAAAATCTTTGGAACAACATCAGGTCAGCAAGGCTGCCTTCACCGTGTTTGCTCACATAGAAAAAGGTAGGAATCTTGGCAGTGCAGTGAAATTAGCTACATAGATCTTATTCTCCATTTTGATTTCTCAATATTCATTGCTGGCCATAAAAGCATTTGCCGGTCAAACAACAGCCCTAAAACAATACCAATTCAAGTCTTTGATTTAAACTCCGCCAAGAGAAGCAATCCCAAGCCAGACGGCGCCTGGCGAACACAGACAAGGTAGACAAAAGCAATTCAACTTTGTGGCAATATCGAAAGACATATTCAAATCAATTTGGCTTCAGTCCCCTTATCTATCCCATGTCTGCTCAGTCTTTCTCTCCTTTGTCATATTTTCTCCTTCCCTCTGTCTCTGTATCTCTCTGCCTCCCTATTCATCTACCAAGACTGCTCAATTAATTCAGCCCACCATCTGCTTACAGGGCTCCTTAATTACACATTTAACTGGGTTTACATATTACTGCCTGCCTAACAAAACAGGTGAGAGCAGAGAGGAAGACAGGCAGGCAGCCAGGCGACAGATAGACAGTAAGGCACACAGATAACAGTTAGATAGGAAGACAGATGGACAGATAGATAGGTAGACATTTAGATAGGTTGAAATATAGATAGGTAGACGGATAAGATAGACAGAGAGCGACAGAGAGGGAAAGCATTTGCATTGGCTGATTAAAAGACAGCTGAGGGGGGAATATGTGGAAGGAAACTGGAGAGCCAATTTGAAGTAGCAGCTTTGAAGTAGCAGAGCACGATCCCACCCCTCCGTTTGAATCCCAGTCTTTGTGTGGCGTCTTTGATGTTATGTCAGAGTGTGCGCGTGCAAGCGTGTTAATGTGTACGCACTTAATAGGTTGTCACATTTTGCTCATGTAAGTGCATGTGTCCCTGATGATGTATGTGTGTGCTACTCCTGAGACCCAGGTTCTCTTGTTGCCTTTACCCTGGTGATGGACCACGATACTCTGCTCACAGCGTAACCCACCGTGCCAGTCTTAGACACATACTGCTTTTTCCCTCAGCAAGCTATGCAGTCGTGTCTGTATAGGACAGTAATTGTTAATGACTGTGGTGTTTAAACGGGTTCAGACAATGTGGGTTTTAAAATAGAGGAACTTGACTTGAACCCGTAATGACTGTAAATGTATGTAGGTTTCAAGAGTAGCTGCACTATCATGCTTTTCTGTGCAATAACATTGCCACTGTAATTGCCTTTCACATCAGCTAAAGTGAAGCTATTTTAAACAGCACCCAATTTGTTCTCTCGGGTCCAGACAAGGTTTAGAGAATATGCAAAGTATATCAAACATATGCAGAGGCACTGCCTTTGACATTGTTAATTGGAAATAAATGTCTGTGATACAAAGACTAAATTAACCTTTGACCAATATTCAGAGAACCTACTGTAAGGCCTCTTTTCACAAGGTATTATGCTCCTCTGCAGCTAAGGCAACCTCACTGGAGTCTATTGACCCAGACACTATAGTTCGTTGTCTGGTATTCAACTGAGGTTCAGACCTGAATCACAATGCTGGCTGATGGAGCAATCGTTCAGTCTAACACTGTCTGTGTGTGTGTGAATGTGTGTTTCTGAGGTGAGACTGTGGAGGTGGCCAGGTATCACTCTGTCTGTGGAAGATGGAGTGCTGTCAGTGACAGCTGTGCTGGAGTCAAATGAGATGTCAGTCTGTGGGCTGCAGGTGTGACATCCTGCGGGCTTTAAGGGTTTAAAGTGGGAACACAGTTGAAGTGAATGTACCTGTGATGCACACATAAACACAGATAAACAGATAAACACACATCTCAGTCTGAGATTGTGCTACCATTACCAAGACAGACATCGATACATACTTGATGGCCACTGACCTTAGATTTCTTTTACAGCAAAAACAAACATATACCCACACAGTTGTCACCTCAAATCACAACGTGCTGTCTTCCCATGCAGCCCTCCCTGGTGAATTCTAGCATGCATCATCCTGTGCTACGAGCAGCCATCTGCACTCTCTTTGCCCTGAAAGTCTCTCTCAGCTAACGTCAGCCTTCTTCTCTGCGGCCCTCACAGCAGCCAGATCAATAATGTGGAGCCCTCCGTGATCACTCTCCTGCTGCTGCAGCTGCCTCTTGGCACAGATACAGCAGCAGGACTGAGATCAGCGTAGAATGGACACGGTTCGGTCCCCTGAGACCGTGTGTTTACACAGAAAACACACGGCGTGAAATCGTGACATCGGGAAAGACACAAGGTTCAAGTCAGGGTAAAATCCCGTATGATCAAGCACACATGCACTGATAACATTTAAACCAAGGGTAACAAGCCGGAATATTCCATTTGACTGGTGCTTGCACATGGCTGCATTTTGAATGGAAACCCAGTAAAATTGCAATTCACGAATAAATCTTGCAAGTTGTGCAGTAGCCGCTTTTGAAATCTGAATACAAAAAGAGCATAAAGATGTAAGCAGTGTGGAAGGGAAATTGCCTTCCTATGTCTTTGTTCGTTGTGCGTGGGTGGAGATGTCTATGTAAGTGTGAGCTACATAAAGGGAACACTTTTGATCTGATTTCAGTTAATCCCTCAAAAGAACAGCTATAATAGTCCACAGATTGTCAATGTTTTGTTGCAAAAACGCTTCTAACTATTTTGCAATGCAGCTATCTTTAAACAATTTAATTGTCAACCAGATGCACACTATTCTTGTTCAGATTTCTTTCATCCCAAAATGTCATCATAAAGAGAATCAGCATAATAAGAGCGTGCAGATTTACATCATATCCATTTCCCATTACTTTTATATTTGTGGGTAAAACTTAACAATCATATAGCGTTATAAAAACAGCAGAATCACTCAATTCTAAAAATCTACTATTTGTAGGTTGTCATGTAGGTTATCATCTAATCATTCACACCCTAGCATCCCCAAGTGGTCATTGTTGTTAATTTGTCAGAGCTATTAACAACACAGAACATAGTGCAGTTATTTCCAAGCAATCTCTTGTAGCTTCCTATGAACAAGAAGATCAATCTACTTATATATCATTAGCAACACAGCTCTGCTAGCAGCCTGGCTGTGAGAATCCACCATAAGAATCCCAAAGCACCAGAAACCCTGATCTTAATGCTATGATAAAGGCAGAGTAAAACACCCAATGGCATTAGATAGATAGGAAGGTCTTGTAACTTACTGATCTATACTAGAAAGAATGATTTTTAAAACTTTGTCACATAGGGGTTAGGGTTAGGTAGAGTTTCTAAGCTTATTCCACTACCTTGGGATAGCTACTGTAAGCCATTTTGTTTAGTTTTGTCCAAGCAAAGTGCTCTGGTAAGCAGTGATGCTATGTATGGTTAATGTACGGTCTGAGGCTCTGAGACAGACAGAATTGCGTAGTGAAAGCAAGGCTAACAGGGAAGCAATCTAAACATAGATGGTGTCACTATTCTATATCTATTACACAGTGCAAACACCACTTACCTCGTAATGACTGTCTATTGCTTCTACGTGCAATGTAAGGCAATGTACAAACACCTCACTTAACTACTTACTTTTTTATAAAATGTTCTATTACTCCGCTGCGTTCAGACAGGATCCTAAGAACTGTTACAGGATGTGCATTTTTTTGTTGTTATGTAACTTTTTATTTTTTATTATAGATTTGTTTTTATTATATCATAACTTAGTACTTTTTTTCCTGATATTCTTAAAAGGACTTTTCTTTATAACGAACGCTTTACCTTTTGATTTGAGTGTTTTTTGAGGCACATACTTCTCTATTTCTTCTTAAAAACCTGAATGCAGGGTTATTATAGTACTTTGGTCAATACAGTCAATATTGACAGGGAGAGAAGGAGTTTGCTAGCCTGTTCAAACAACCGAACCTGACCTATCCAGACTTCATAATCTTTGTGGGTGCCTTGAGAGAAACGTGAGTGAAATGCTATGACCATCAATATTCCTACACTGCTTTGCTTCCCCGAGTCTCTGAGGAAAGACTCAATGTCAGCTTGCTCCTGATCAGCAACCCCGAGTGGGTCTGTGCTGAGAGAGGTGAGAGTAGAGGGGGGGGGGGGCAATGCTGACCCTGAGGATCTGGTGTGCTGCAACACGTATACAGTTCCCCTGGGACATTAGCCCCATAGGACCTCACAATAACACCGGCATGCACTGATTTTCACCAAGGCCTTTTTCCTCTTCCTATTTCCCTCTCTCGTTCTAAAGTAATGCATTGGAATCTGTATTTCTATCCTTATTAACTATATCCATTTCTCTCTTGCCTTCCAACTTAGCGTTAGTCTATGATTCGTCCAAATACTTTTTTTCTGAATATTTATTGAACACTATTTTCCAGAACAGTCAATCTTTTTCTCATTTCTACTTACTTGAATTTTTCAGGTTTTTTTGGTAAACACAGTAATGAATATTATATCACAATATAAGGAATGTACTGCTTTACTGCATGCCAGGAGATATCCTCTAACAGCTCAATAGGAAGTCAGAGTGAGCGCACCCACACACACGCTCACACCCTCACACAGCTTGTACTGTAGCTAGCATAGCCACGAGGATCAATCATGAAAGCATTGGAGTGAGTCGGCAGCACCAAATGACACCACTTTAGGCTTCTTACTAAGACAAGGAAGGCTAAGTAACCTTCTCTGCAAACACACTTCCACCATTACAGATCAGTAATTATTGTCCTTATGTGTTCTTCTGACATTTGCCTACTCCATACTGTTTTATAATAGAAAACATAATAGCGTATTTGCATACACAGACTCTTTCCCCCAAAGTTTTTTGACTGCTTGGTTTTAAACAATGTTTGTATCTGCATATGTATATGTGATTGTTCGTCTACCTCGTTGTATGTCACAAACAACACAAAATCCTTGTGTTCCAAATGTCCACGAGTCGGACAATGCCATATTTCTTAATGTTCATTTATTTAGTTTCATGTCAATCTGATGCATAACCTACCGTGACACCAAAGAAGTTGGTCTCGTTCATGACGTCCAGCACCATTTTCCCCACTTCACGATCATCCACAGTGAAGTTGTGGAAGGTGTTCTGCCGCTGTTTTACCCGGAGCAGTTCCATCACTCGAGTTAACGTTTTAGCGATGACCCAGATCCCATCGTAGGCAAAGCCGTGGAACTTGCTGGACTCCACACCTTTCTGCTGAAGCTCCCGGCTGTACTCCCTCTCATACTCCTTCGGGGTCTGACCGAGAGGCAAGAAAAGAGACAAGATTAAAAAGAGAAAGTGTGAATCTCCAAACTTCTTGAATATTTTCTTTTTCCTTAGAATAATTCATCTCACATTTTTCAAATGTACTTTTTTTATTGTAACTTTTCTGTAAAGTAGAAGAGATTATTTCAAAGCAATTTCAGATGCAAAGTTGATGAAAATGCAGTTTTAGCTCTGGTCTCACAAAATAAACAAAAATTAATTGAATTGACTTTCTACAAAACCAAAACATTTTCCAATTTCACTTTATTAACCTCAGGCTGCTTATTGTACACTGTACATTCATTCTGGCAACCACCCAGCTTTTCTGAAATAACCTCAAAATCAAGGTTTGTTGTGGTGAGATATTCGCCTGATAAAATGTTTTACACTAAATGTGTCTCTATACAGATTGAATAATGTGTCATTACAACAACATTCTGCTGAATAACATCAGGTAGCACTCACTCTGCCTGAGATGCCCTTTATCTGGCGAGCGCTGAGCGGCTCAAAGTCCACACTGATGTATCCCTCCATGGCTGTGAGCAGCTTCTTGGTGGTGCAGTTGGTGCTGTTGGCCTGCTCCCACCAGTTGCCCTGGTACCAGCCGGGGATAATCCACTGGTATTTACTGCCAAACATGTTGAGGTTATACGCCTGGCAAGGGGTAGGAAAAAAATGGGGTTGAGACAATGTAATGTTAGCTGCTGGCTGTGTAAAACTACGGATAACTGAGAGTTTAGGTCTAGTGCAACGCTTGAAGAATACTGAACTCATGGGTTTAGCAATAAGCATAAAACATAGCATAGCATCACTATCACTTATAAGGCTGAAGACTTACGCAGCAGAAGACTTTGGAGGCCAGATTCTCGTCAAACTGGCCAATGATGATTCTCACATCGTTGTCCTGGGGAAAAAAAGAATAAAACATCATGATTAATTATAAACACACATGCTCACAAAACGTTACATTAAATATGAGTTACCGCAACAGGGCAAGCTGTTTTATGTGATCAGTGTCACCATACAGTATTTTTGTGATAGGTTGTTTTGATAAGTTTCCTTGTTTGTGATGCCTTTTTTCAGCACTCTGGGACATCACTCTTTACAAATGGAAATATAATCAGTTGTGAGCGTTTGTGTACTGTATTTTCTTCCCTAAGTCTATCTCATCAATAGCTACACAGTCTGGGTGGCTGAGAGGCTAAAGCAATATCAAGTCACAAAGTATCAATCCATAACAACAAAGACATTAGTGTCAGCGGGCAGAACTGCCTTCAATGCCAACCGGGCTCAAGAGCACACTTTTACATAGAGATCGAGAGCACAAGGCCCAGTGAGTGACTCTGTAAATAATTCAGAGTGCAGCATGGTGGGAAAAAAGATCAGGCTCCGGGGTCAACGGTCTGTTATTTAGTGTGCACACGCTTATGTATAAAACTTTAGAAACACAAGCACAGGCCTGCAGACACACATAATGCAGACACACATGGATAACACACACACTACTTTATTGCCCCAAATCAAATCCAATACCACTGACAGAGTTTTGATGTCTGGTCAACATGGCTGGAGGTAGTGTGTGATGCATGGGGAAAAGTCGAACATAGGGCCCTTAACTAACCCTGACAGTCCAGACAATAAATGGAGAAGGTCACTGAGCAATATGAAGGAAATCTAAAGGGCTGAAGCTGTCAATGTATTTGATTAATTATGTTTTTTCTTCACCAACAGTTGTTTCTAGGGAAGCATACGTAATATTAAGTGTGTTTTCTATGTTGTGTCTTTTAAGTGCTACATGCAGTGTTTTTAAATGTTTGGTTCTGTCTTTTATTGATTAGGAAACTGCTTACCTAACAACACTGAAACTGTAAGAGCAGGGGCCTTTTACATTTAAATTACATAGGCAGTTTTAGAAAATACAAAACAAGTGACAAACACACAAGCTCTAATGTCAGTGAACCTACTAGTTTCCTGCCTTTATTCTTGATAATGACAAACTGTTATGAATACAGTCCATGAAGTCCTCTTCCCCCAGGCAGCCTTACCACATGTCATGTATCCATAGATCAGAGTAAGCAATCACTGTCACCTTAGCTCCAATTACTCAAGGCAATTAGACATCAAGGAGCTACTGTACCGCACAGCCAATACATTTCATATAGTGGATAGATGTATGAACACATTAGATAGATTCAAATGAATTGGAAAGTTGATAGATACATGGATAACATCTTGCCTATCTATCCACTATATGCATTATGAAAATATGTTGTAAATTGACTTTGTCATGACAAAGAAAAAGGATATACTGTGTGTCCCTCCTATCCGTCTTTATATTTAGTTGCTAATGTAATATCTGTCCTGACATTTTACATAAGCTCTAAGATTATTTCCATCACAAAATCATCTGTATATGTTCTGTAAATATTAAAGAGGTTGAGAGTTTTCAGAAAGCCGAGCAGCTCAATCAAAAGCTTCTTTGATGGTTTCTCATCACAGCCATGCTGGGAAATGTAAGTGGCCTTTTGTATGAAACGCTTATTGTTGTTCCCCTGGAGGACAGGTAACAACTCTGAACTTTTCTGGGGTGCACTCTTGCGTTATTTCATTTATTTTATCACTATTTTGTGTGTGTGTGTGTGTGTGTGTGTGTGTGTGTGTGTGTGTGTGTGTGTGTGTGTGTGTGTCAGTGTACAAGTGTGTGTGTGCCAGTTGTTACTCAATGTCCTTCCCTGAAGGAAAGGCACTTAACCCAAATTACTCTAGCTATGGCCAAGGACCACAGCCTCAGTATAAATTATGGCCTGTCTGACTGTGTCGTTGCAGGCAAGGGCATGAGTGAGTTTGTCCATTATAGACAGACCGGGTCACTACAGAACCCCAAACTACCCTCATTGTTTGAGCTTTTGTATAACTATGAAAATAATTGTTATCGAGGGTAGTGTTATGGGCAGCCTTGACAGCTTCTTAACCAAGACAGGGGTGTTTGAAACTTCATCAAAGTGATTTATACGTGCTAACGGTTTGAGCATTAATGTTCCTTATAAGCCCAATCAGGCACTGTTAAGGCTTATTAGGCACACACACACACACACACACACACACACACACACACACACACACACACACACACACACACACACACACACACACACACACACACACACACACACACACACACACACACACACACACACACACACACACACACACACACACACACACACTGTATTATTGATGGCCTTTTTTATGAGCTTGTGGGAGACATGATTTGTAGACTTATCAACGTGTTGCCTCTACCCACAATCCCCATCCCCCTGTGTGTTTCTGATGATTACTGTGCAGTAAGTGTGCAGATGTGATCAAGTGCATGATCTTGTGTGTGTGTGTGTGTGTGTGTGTGTGAGTGTGTGTGGCCGCTTGCCATTTATGTAATGACTAGGTGAGCATTGAATGTTCTACATAATATTATGATCACTAATATTGCATTATTATTTGACATGTAATTATCCGGCCTTCTGAATAAAACTCGGTGTGCTCCGAGTCCACAGTGCGCGACTCTTGCTGGAACTTGGTGCTATTTGAGGATTTGGACAAGCAGAGGTGCTTTATCAGTTGGAAAGGAGCAGCAGATTACAGGAACCGCAGCCGCTGATGATATTATCAATAGCAAACCATATGAAATGGACAAACCTATAATGATAATATCAGTGCAAACCATTTGTCTTGAGCCAATCCTCTGTGTTTTCAAACCAACAAAACAATGTAGAATCATTTGTTATCAAAGGAATGTTTTGGGTAAAACTGGGATTCTAGTATTCTACCATATAAGCACAGCCAAAGTATGGCAGCTATAGCACAGGCTTTAGGGCTTGTAGCACACATACATTCACAACCCAAGAGAAACACTGAAATCTACTTATCAACACATGAAATAGAAGGTTATACAGTACATGTTTGGATGGCCCGTTGTCATTCAAAAGTAGCTGCATCAGTAAGGCAGAAATGTTTAAAAATAAATGGACGTCATATCTGAATGGCAAGAGTTCTGAATGCATGATACATAATTAAACCATAATAAATAATTAAGTGTTTTGGACCTAATTTAGATTTCAGGCCATTTTATCTCATGCAAGCGACCTGAATTGTCTTTCAGTCACAACAACTTTAAAAATCACTGGTCTATAACATTTCAGCTTATTTTATGTTTCATTTGAAGATGTTAAGCATGATTATACGTAAGTGATTGTTGGAGTTTGTGTGTGAGAGTGTGGTGTGTTTGTAAGCCTGCCTTTGTTTAGGGATGTGTTTTGTTAGTCAGTGCAGTAACAAGGAACTCGGGACAGAGAACAAGAGATGAGGTTAAATAAAGGCAGGAAGCGACAGTGAGATGTAGAAGGCTGCTTCAGCGCCAGGCCTGTCTGCTTTTTGAATATTCCAGCTGGATCGCAGATGTAAGTGCTCTATTTGTGGATCCCACAGTGACGCCATGGCCCCCTTATTCCCCACACAGTCGCAGATACACAATGACACATAACAGTGCACTACAAAAAAAAAAACCTTTCACAATAAAATCTGTGTCACCCTATACCTCGTCATATTACGTGGTTGTCGGGGGGACGGCAAACTGCTGTTTCGAGATGAGCGGAAACAGACCATTAGGGTGTCCGAGGACCCCCCCCCCGCCCCCCCCCCCCATCAAAACGCTCTGAAAAGATTTCGAGGCGACACCGTGTTTTGCATATTTAGAGTTGATCAAGGAAGGATGGTGTCAGCTTACAATATCAGCCCTCAACTTGGAGGGTTACATATATATTTAAGAAAATACAGCTTATCTTTATGTTCCTTCTCTATCCCTCTGTCTCATCATGACATTTGTTCAACCTGCTCCATGACACATACAGTACGTCATATCTTCCACTCATATATCAGACCTTTTCTTTATTCTTTCTGCTCTTATAACATCTGACAGTTTCTATTTTACTGGTTGAGCTCACCAGGCACATGGTCATGTGTTTGTTTTACTTCCACTGACAATGTTTATACTGTAAACTTATGTGGCACTGACTCACTGTGCTTATACAACAGGGGCCAGAAGCATCTCTGGTTGCCTTTAGAGATATTTTGGATACATTTGCCATCACACTTGACTGCATTTACATCTGAATTTCATGCATTTTTGCTTCATTAACTCAATCCTGATCAACCATGCGTGTTAAACCCAGAAGTAAATGGTGTAAAGATTCACAAGTCAACATCTCAATATTGGCCCAATGATGGTGTTATATATCTTTCATTTTCTTTAAATTTTACAGAAGAGAAGAGGAAAAAGAGATGGAGAGGGAGGGAAACATTTTGAGATATTCAGCTTAAGAGGCCAATAAACCATCCATTGGTCAGAACAGATTCATTAGAGCTCACGCTACCCAACGCTACTCAAATACAAATACCAAAATAATTGGATCAAATTGAGTAATTTGCTGTATTTGAGAATTATTCAAACTATCATAAAATCATTCCACCTTTTCATTTAGTCTGATAGAATTGTGCGGCTCCCAGGCTGGGTGGCTTACCTTGAGTTTCTTGACATTGACACATGGGTCGTTGGAGAAACTCTCCGTATCTGCAATCTGGATGTCTGCTTTCTCCAGCTCACTTGTTAGATCATTTCTCACCTAAAAGAGAAGGAGAGGGGAGAGAGAGGGAGAGAAAGAAGGAGAAAGCACATGAGCATGATGTATACATGACTATGTACCATTTTCCTTGGTCTGTTCTTAATTCAACTCAATAACCTTGAAATGTAAGGAGAGACTTTTGTTAAAACAGACATGTTCAAATTCATTAATTAAACCAAGCTATTGTACTGCTGTCAGTTAACCATACACTCCTTAATAATAATACTTCCAGTTTTCAGATATTACACTTTTAAACAATAAAGAATAAACAGTATTTCAGCAATACAGGCTCTCATGTTCTGAGCTGTTGTCTGCATGATGTTCTGTAAATAGTAAAACATGTGTCTTGACGTGAGAGCATGTCAGAAACATATCGGCTTTTGAAGACATCAAAACTGTCAATATCCTGATTTCAGCTCACTCTGTTAAATGTCGAGTTGTAACATTCACAATATCCGATATACACCCGTCTCGGTGATATGAATTTATGTTTTGTTTTTCAGAGTGACAAAGACTACAGAGTTGCTTTTAATGATCTCAACTGCTTACACAAATCTTGACCAAACAGCAGACATGTGTTCAATATTGTACATGCATCTGCAGGAGCTGTATGTCTGCTCTGATGTATCGATTCAGCAGAATGGTGGGTAAAGGGATCAGGGAAGACAGAGGATGGAGCGGGAACACCGCTGTGATGGCAAGCTTGAGGTGGTTTATCATTCTGCATCTCTCCTCTAGACCCACACACACACACACACACACACACACACACACACACACACACACACACACACACACACACACACACACACACACACACACACACACACACACACACACACACACACACACACACACACACACACACACACACACACACACACACACACACACACACACACACACACACACACACACACACACACACACACTATGATTCATCCCTCTGGCTTCCTCTCTCAAGGATACCATTTCAGAAACTGTCTTTTTTCCCCGTATACATTTTAAGCAGGAAAAGCACAAGTGTAACTAATAATATTAATGATGGCTCTGTTCCAGGTCAGAAGGCACAGTATAAAGGCTCTGGCATGGGAGCATCTGACTGAAATGCTGCTATTATTTTATGTTACAGCTGTGTCAACATGTCTACTGTAAAGAAGATCCACAGTTTGCATATTGGGGTTCACAGGGAACATCTCGTTCTTTCTCTCTGGCCAAATTATTCTGATGTCCTCCGGCCATACCCCGCAGCCACCCCTCTCCGCCCCCGCCTGAAGGCTTGGCATCAGGGGTCATGTTGAGACATCAGAGCTCATATGGGTCTGCCAAGCCCGGCTGGCAGAGACAATATGCAACAGCTAACAGATGAAGACCCTGTGTTTTTACCCTACATTCGTCCGAAACTGTGCATATGTGCCATAGGTTGTATGCATATTCATGTGTTCTACATTGCTACGAGTGCAAGCTGGGGACTGCCTTGGTAATGAATGGAATGTAAACACACATTCCTTGAGTGATTTACGTTAAGCCTTTTTACTTACAAAAGCATAGAAAAAACGTAAGGAAATGTCAACAAACTATTCATGGAAAATATGCTTCCAGTGCAGTTTTATAGAGATATGGTGACCAACATCCAGACTTGCAACATTTGTATTGATTTGTGGGAATATGTGGAATAATATTGAATAAGACAACCTATAAATTGATTATTCTCAGGGAGTAGTTTAAACGTTGCTATGGACATTTTTAGACTGTGTTGTTCTGTTAATGTTTAGGTATATTGATATTCATTTTAAATACAATCCTTGTCACTGTAATTGAAGATATTTAAGCTTCCATCTTTTAAGCCATAGGTAAAGTGTTTCATATTCAAAAGATAGATATCAGGTGGAGAACCACTTCACAAACAGAACACCAAAGTGTGAGGAACTTTACAAAAGGTAGTATTAGTTAGCTGGAAGCATCTTCAATAATTGCAACATCACAGCTGTTTCTTTTGCTACTACTGTTACACTATACATACTTTGTGTAATCAACTAGAAGATTACTGCCTTGTAAAAATCAATGTAACTGAACAACACAACTTTATTTCCCCTATGTCTCGAAATGTCTGTTGTCACAATGGCCCTGTCCCTTGGTACCCTGGAGGGAGCTCTCAATCACTCGGTACATCACTCACTCCTGTACAAACATTCCCTCCAATGTACTGCTCGCTGAGCTGAAACAACAGGGAGGCCGGGGTGGATCAATACAACCAGGTTTTGCTCTTCAGGAACAATTGGTGTGGTGGTCTGGACAAGGTACAAAGTCCTGTTGTGTAGAGCGTTGATCTAAAGCTTGGCTGCTTCCATGCTAAGTGGAAACGAGAGGCAAGAGAGGCATTGCAGCAGGTGACTTTGGTGTTGGAGGAGGAGCGTTGGACCGAGCACACAGCTGGGTGGAATAAAATACTGCCATCACATACAAACAAACATATACAGTACAATAGCACACAGTAAGCCATTCGCCTCTTGGAGAAAAAGTCCTCGTCACAAGAGGATATTTATTGGTTTGATTTTGCATTTTCTTCCACTGAGATGGAAGATGCATCCGTGTTTTGGTGGACTGAGTGTGTTAAATAGAGCGAGGGGTGGAGGGACGGATGGATTGAGGTGAAGAAGGAGGGGGAAAAAAGTTAGCAGCTTTTTCCCCCACAACAAAAACATCCTCTATTGTCTGAGTGGCCGGGGAATCCCCAGCAGCAAATACAGCAGAGAAGTAATCCTACTGCTCTGCTGGTCACGAGTGCACATGTAACACACATCATTATGTAAGTACACACATGATGGACAAAAATGACAAAAAATGTCAGATGCACTCAGTATGATTTCTAGAATGCATCTGTTCCTATGAAGAACTTTAACAAAATATGATTGTGTTTAAATGCAGAATCTTTTTTTCTGCATATGAGCACAGTTACACCCAAGCAAAAATGAAGATGAATTGGGACCCTGTAGTTGAGGGATACCCCGTGACTATTTGGGGTGTAAACGACAGAATGAAGTATTATCCCACATCTTCGCTGCGGTCTTCCTTTCCACTGACCGTGACAAAGAAGCATGGCTACATTTATTGTATAGGGAAAGTAAAAGCAGCGTTCCTTGGTTGTTATTAATATGCATTGGTAGTACAGCAGTGCTTGTGTCATCATTATACAGCTTGATAGGTCATAAAATATTCCCTCTACACCTAATTGCATATTTTGGAGGGCTGCAACTAAGCATTATTTTCATTTTTAATCCATCAATCCTACGATTAGTTTCCGAAATAATTGTTAAATTATAGAAAGTGCATGTTAAAATGTTAGAAAATGGCATGATTTATTTCTAGAATAGTAAAAGAGAATTTTTGTTTTTTGCTTGACAAAGGATGTAAACATAATTACCTTTTAAATAGTTGTTAATAACTATTCTGTAGATTGACAAATTTGATCGGCTATAAAACAGACACACACACACACACACACACACACACACACACACACACACACACACACACACACACACACACACACACACACACACACACACACACACACACACACACACACACACACACAGACACACACACACACACACACACAGACAGACAGACAGACAGACAGACAGACAGACAGACAGACAGACAGACAGACAGACGTGGACGGGCTGCGGTGGTTTAACCTCCGATCATTAACACATCATTAAGCATGTCCACAGAATAGGGGACTTTGTGTGGCTGAGTGTGTGTGTGTGTTTGTTAGTGTCGTACATGATAGAGTGTTTGCAGGTGCTTCTCAGTAGACTGTAGTACCTTTTCAGAACATGTAATGTAGATTAACAAAAAAGTCAAAACCGAGGATGTAACGCGGCAATGTCATGCAATTTACAAAGAGGCAGTGTGATGGGTCTTGCACACATCTCTCCCTCAAAAAGTGTGTGCCACATCCGCGTATAAATCTCCATGTAAATCCCAGAGTTCAGGCTGTAATGCCAGTCATGTGCTTACACAAACTAGTGTGACAAACGGTTGTACCACAGCCTGATGACAAGCTCTTGAATGGCTTCCTCTCATGCCCTGTACAATGGCATGAATGAGTCACTCTGCAGAGGAATGTATGACATTGCCTGCTTATTTGTAGTAAACAGCAGCTGATGGCTAAAGAAATGTACGTGTAAAATGCACCTTTTTGCAAACACATTTTCACTTTGTTAGCAAGATTGCTGTGATAGTAACTTCTTCTAAATCCATCGTTAAGCATGGTGTGATTAAACATTTTTGCTTAGAGGAATCCAGGCAGAATCCTGTTCTCTGTCATGACTGCTCTGTTTCCGATGAGCCCTGTTTGTCTGGCAATCTCAATAATGTTGATTGCTGTGTGTGTGTGGGTGTGTGTACAGACACCTTAACACTGGCAAACACCTTACAGATATTTATTCCCATCTCTCAATATAATAAACCAAACCCCCCAAAACATGTCCCTCCTAAAATAGGATGTGCTGGTGTGTTCAATTGCTCCTAAAAATAGAAGTGCAATCTGGCTTTAGTTTACAGGTGACAGTCCTAGGGGACACCATGTTATAAGTGTGTGTGTGTGTGTGTGTGTGTTTGCCACTGACTGAATCACTAACAATTGTTTCATAACATTAACCTTGTCTCCCTAGGAAACTGCACTGCAGCATATCCCTCTCTGTTTAAGTATAGCAGCTGTTCCAGGTGGCTTCTTTCTGGAGTTTCTGTCAGTCAGAGTGAGAGACAAGTTCGACAAGATATTTTGAACGAAACCAAAATCATCTGTTCATGGAATAATTTCAACTCAATAAAAAGGTAACAAAAGTACTCATGATGCATTCCTTTGTTATGTTTGTTCTATTCTTTGGCAGTATCCAAACAGCAGTAAGCATCTCATCAGCCACTTGTATTCTACATGCTACCGTGACTTCCAGATGTACCGAAAACCGACATGCTCTGAACTTGACGGAGGATTGTACAAATCATAAAGTATGGCAGCGATGCTTGCATATTTGTAAATCAGGATTAGAGGCCAATTTTGTGGCAGGTTGATTGAATCGGGCCGCCCGTCTCCCACTCGTCCTAAGCCCCTCGGCGCTTTCAGGAGGGGAGAGATAAAGGGATTTGGGCTCTCTGATATTTGCAGTGAGACTTCTTATACACCCCCTCCAGCTGCTGAGCAGATTGTTTTCAATCAGGGCCTCGAGGCAAGAACTCACAATGGGTCTCTTAAATTCTTGCTTTCAATACCTCTGACTTTTTTTAACTGAGTGTTCCTGTGACGGTGATGTAATATAATGTTGGTCCCATGAGTCGTCAAACGCGTGACAGATGTGTATTTATCGCTAACGGGCAACCCTTTCCCAAACAGGAATATGTTTTTCTCATTAGTTAATATCAATTTTTTTTACAACATGGTTTGGCATTGGATTGTTCTATTGATTCTCCTATTGATTTGATTGTAAAAAGCTACTCGACACTAGCAGGAAAAGGATTTCTCCTTGGAGAATGCAAATGTGTCGACTCCTGTTCCTGGCTTCAATCTGATTTACAACCATTTTCTAAATAAGTTTGCAAGCTTTAAAATGTATTTCAGTGCCAACAATGTCACAAAGGTTTTTACTTACAGATAAAGTTCTTTGTATTTCCACAGTGGGCTGAGTAGTGCTTGATGCAGACATTTCCATTACACATGATGTACTCTAACATCTGTTCTTATCGATTTTGCTTGTAAAAAAAAAACATATGGTTAGTGCTAGAATTAGGCTCCAGTTTTAGTTTCAAAATGTTAATCTAGCCATTTTATCCAAGTCATGGAGAATCCATCCAAAGAGTTTTATGTGGGTGGAAAAATATTACTTTAGTCAAATAGTGGAGAATAGCTTGAAATCAAATTGATTCCCACCCACTCAAATGTTGGCAACATCTGAATTATGATTTTAAGAAAAAAAATACCAATCAGTGTTCAGTATTGACACTACTCGTAGTCTCTCCATCAACAAGATAAAAAAAACCTGACTGAGAGTGTTTATTAATAGTGAAATGTTACCCATTATCTTCAAGAGAGGAGAAGTGGCAGGGGAAGGCTGGGATTATTAAACTGACTTTAAAGCTTTGTGATTGTGTGTTGTGATAGCAAAGATTTGTCCAAAATAAATGTCCCCCTGACACGGATCACTGACAGGTCTGTGTGTACATGACCACTGTGGAATTTATATATCTGCTTTAAAAAAGTATAAAGAGATGTATGCAACTGTTACTATGCAGGCAAGGTAAACAAAGGTTCATTTATGGTCTGTTTTAAGGTACGCCACAACTAACCTGAATGAGGTGAAACTTGTGTTTATTTATTAATGATGTGCAATTATATTTTTGGGAAAAAGAAGAAAAAATAAGGTTAACCTGGCACTATATTTTATATTGAATTATTACAGAAAAACTGAGGTTGCTGTGCCTTGTGATAGAGCTCAATACTTCAGAATACATCACAGAACTGGCTCTCATTTCCTGTGCAAGCTCTCTGTAACAGCTCAGTATGTAACCACAGGTTTCCATGGCAACATTTTGCCACAGTTTACATATCGAAATATAGTATTTTGAAAGAATGAACGAGAGACACTGACCTCGGAGAACCTCTGTACATCCTGAGTGAGCGTCCCCACACGGCTCCAGTTGTAGAAGGTGAGGAACTTCACCACCGCAGGGTTCACGGCGTTGTCTGATGGGACGGTGCGGAAGAAGTTTGGGTACTTTTTCTTATCTGCCAGGACTGGAGTTGTTGCTGCAAAGGAAAGCTGGAATGACAAAAAAAGAGAGAGAACTACAGTGAGTTTAGAGTCTGTTAAATACAGTCCTAAATAATCCTGGCAACAAATAGTCAGATTACGCTGGTGTACTGTTAGAAGAGAAGCACTGTTAACAACTGTTAACAAAGCACTGGATGACAGATCTCAGATGTGCCATGCACTCAAATTCACAAGATTCAAGATTCAAAGGTTTTATTGTCATATGCACAAAACTACAGTGTAGAAATGGCACTTACATTCTTCTGACCTGAGCTCCTCCAACAATGCAATAAATATAATAAAATACAAAAGTAAAAGAAACAAGTTTATATACATGTCAATAGAATGTGGGATATGTACAAGAACAGAATATGAAATTAAATAATGTAAACCACAGCACTGAGACTGCTCTTGTAAAGGTCTTTAATGACATCCACTTAAACACAGACAGTGGCAGAACTTCAGTGTTACAGTAGTATTATTAGTAGGGGTGTAACGGTTCACAAACATTTCGGTTCGGTACGTACCTCGGTTTTTTGGTCACGGTTCGGTTCGGTACGTTTTCGGTACAGCAGATTTTTTTTTCACAAAACAAAACATATATATATATATATTTTTTATTATTATTAAACTGTGAATAATGTATTCACTCAAATAAATACAAAATATAATAAAATAAACATTAAGGTGCAGCATTTCGATGAACTGAAATAATCTGTATTTGAACTTTACTGTAGGCTACTAGTACTCACAAAACATAACTATTAGTTTTGGGTTTTTAATTATTATTAAACTGTGAATATTCACTCAAATAAATACAAAATATAATAAAATAAACATTAAGGTGCAGCTTTTCGATGAACTGAAATAATCTGTATTTGAACTGTACTGTACTAGTTCCTAAGCAGCCAGCTTAACATTATGACTTGCTTGTCATTGTATTTTCATGTTTTTTTAAAGAAAAATTAACTTGTCCACATTGCTTGCCGAAAGGGCAGATCTGCTGGCACTAACAATGTCTCCTGCTGTGGAGAACACCCTCTCGCTAGGGACAGAGGTAGCAGATACAGCCAGGTAGCGCTTTGCTAACATGGCAACATAAGGATATTTGGCGTTTGTAATAGCTTTGGCTCTGTCTGAACTCTCTGCGAGTGGTGGAGGCTTAAATGCTAGTGGGAGTTGGGTTTGCACTTCAGTCTTTTTTCTTTTGGTACCGGTGATATTCACGTTCGAGTGATGCCTTTTCAAGAGTGTGCAAGTTTGATGTATTGCCAGCCGCGTAACCAATTTTAGTTGAACAATGCCGACAAACAGCTTTGGTTCGGTCCACCTGTGTTTGTCCTTCATCCTTGTACGTAACTGCGAAACCAAAATGTTCCCAAACCGGAGACTTCAATGATGCTGGAGGATTTTCGAGCTCAACTTTATCTGCGTTCGCCATTAATTTTCGACAGTTCCTCAAATTACTGACTACATTTGAACGCATCCCTCTGACCAGCTCTCATAGTATGCCTCTCATCCAATGAAATGACTTGCTCGCTCTATGACGCGTTGAACCCAATGTGACCAAATTACTCTGAATGCTGCGACGCAGCACCTGAGATTACTTCCAAAAAGTTGTTCACGTTCTCAATTTTTTACGTTTAACGTTATATTCGTTCGGTACACTTCGGTACACACCTGTACCGAACCGAAGGGCCCGTACCGAATAATTTCGGTACGGGTACGTGTACCGTTACACCCCTAATTATTAGATCTCAGTGCTGCGTTTGACACTGTTGACCACAGCATATTACTAGACCGACTGGAAAACTGGGTGGGACTTTCGAAAACAGTTCTAAATTGGTTTGAATCCTATTTAAAGGACAGAAACAACTTTGTTTCTATAGGTAAATACACATCTGAGTTGACAAATATGACATGTGGGGTTCCTCAAGGCTCCATCTTGGGGCCTCTTCTTTTTAACATCTACATGCTACCACTGGCTCAGATAATGAAAAACAACAAAATAAGTTACCATAGCTATGCGGATGACACACAAATTTACGTAACAATTTCACCAGGAGACTACGCTCCAATTCAAACACTGAGTAAGTGCATTGAACAAATCAATGACTGGATATGTCAGAACTTTCTCCAATTAAACAAAGATAAAACTGAGGTAATGGTTTTTGGAGCCAAGGCAGAACGTATAAAAGTTAGCGCTGAGCTTCAGTCTGCAATGTTCAAAACAACAGATAAAGCCAGAAATCTAGGTGTAGTCATGGACTCTGACCTGAGTTTCAACAGTCACATTAAAACAGTTACTAAATCAGCCTACTATCACCTAAAGAATATATCTAGGATTAAAAGACTAATGTCACAGCAGGATTTGGAAAAACTTGTCCATGCTTTTATCTTCAGTAGACTCGACTACTGCAATGGTGTCTTCACAGGTCTCACTAAAAAATCTATTAGAAAGCTGCAGCTGATTCAGAACGCCGCTGCTCGAGTCCTCACTAACACTAAGAAAGTGGATCACATCACTCCTGTTCTGAAGTCTTTACACTGGCTTCCTGTGTGTCAAAGAATAGATTTCAAAATACTGCTGCTGGTTTATAAAGCACTGAATGGTTTAGGCCCAAAATACATTTCTGACCTCCTGCTAAATGATGAACCATCCAGATCTCTCAGGTCTTCAGGGACTGGTCAGCTTTCTGTCCCCAGAGTCAGAACTAAACATGGTAAAGCAGCGTTCAGTTATTATGCTCCAAATATCTGGAACAAACTCCCAGAAACCTGCAGGTCCGCTGCAACTCTGACTACTTTTAAATCCAGGCTGAAGACTTTTCTTTTTGTCGCTGCTTTTAATTGAACTATTCATATCTTAGACTGCACTGTAACTTTTATCACTGTAACTTTTATCCATGTATTTTTTCTTTTAATGTTTCTTTTATTAGCTTTTCTTTTTAATGACTGATTTTAAATGCCATTTTCTTAATGTCTTTCATTTTTTTGTAAAGCACTTTGAATTGCCTTGTGTTGAAAAGTGTATAAATAAACTTGCCTTGCCTTGCCTAAATTAAGACTAAATTAAATAGGGCTTATTGCGGTGATAACTATTTCTATAAATTGGTATATTGCAAGATGACAACAGGAATGTTTATCGGGGCACTTAACAGAGCTCAGGTGTCATTTTAGAGTGTTTGTGAGGAACACACACTCTTTAGAAGTCTAAGGGTGTGGACAAATCAACTCTTTCAAATGAATTTAAATGTCAGCTAAATACCCGCTTTAGTGTATAACTGGAAATAGATCTCTAAATATTGGGTGGAATGGATGACTCCTTGTATGAGTAGCCTTTTAAGATGTTTTTATTCTGTTGCTGTTGTGTGTCCTGGAGTGATAGTTGAGTGAATACCTGTTTTCGTACGTTTTTTGATGAGGAGCAGCTTAGCAATATGATTCATCTCTATGTTGTTAAATTAAAAGCATTTGCGTTCTTCATGCAAGCAGTTTGAACTAGATTGCACACACACACACACACACACACATACACACACACACACACACACACACACACACACACACACACACACACACACACACACACACACACACACACACACACACACACACACACACACACACACACACACACACGCTGAACCTCAAACGTTAATTGGCTTTTTACACACACCTTTTTTTTGGTTCATGGGCTGCAACCTAAGCATATTTTGAGCACATCAATGTTCAAAAAAGGACAGTCTACCAAAGTTTGAAAGGCAAACTTTTAAAGTATTTTCCAGAGCAATAACACACTAATGATCTGAACACGATGCAGTAAACACACTCCCTCACTGATGGCAATATAGTTGGAAAGCTGTGTGTGTGTAACTCAAGCTGGTCTAGGGAATATTTTTAAGTCTACAAGTGGTGTTGTACTATATTTGAGTTTAAAAATGGTAAAAATAAATAAATATTCAAATGTGTTTTCTCCATTATCAACACTACATTGTCCTCATTTACACCCGTCCCACCTTTAAATTGTCTTTCCCATTCTAATGCACATTTTCAACAATAGGTCACCCATTTTCTCGAGAGGCAAATATTTCTGTAATTAATTTTTGCATTAAGATTATCATTTGCAAGTCAGTACAATGTACCAGCCGGCACTCACCAGAATAGACAATGAGCTGACACTTTAGTGTTTACTAAGTTTATTTTTATTAGTCTCAGGCCCCGTTTACATGGAGACGGTTCGGGTTGTATCTGCTACTTTCTTCTATCGTATAGACGGTTCGTTCACACGAGGCCGTAACGGAACCGCGGAACTGGACCCCTCAAGCGATAACGGGGCCCAAGATGGGTAGATCTGCGGACGGAACGCTCTGGGGGGGTCAAACGGCTCCGTGTGTACACCCTATACGCCATAGCCCCGCCTCTCCCCACCTCTCCTGCTCACCCCCGTGTCACCCGCGTCATTGCTGATGTGTTTCGCCAACAACAACAACCGAGTGTTTCGAGCCAGGTCCCGGTATGTGCACCCAGCAGGAGCCTCCAGCTAGATTTGATCGATATGGACATAAACGCGAGTGAAGTCTAATCGGACAAGAGAGAGAGATCAGAGATCAGCTATTGCTGACGGAGACACGCAGCTCTGCATGATCACCTGCAGCTCCGCCCGGTGTGATGAATTTATTTTAAATTACCTCTCAAACTACCTAAACTAGTTATAAATATGTATATTTGTACTGTCGGGTAACTCATTACTGGATCAGCCAGCTGCATGAGACGGATACTGACGGGCTGTCAGGAGAGGGGGAGGAAAAGAGAGACTCCGTTTATTATTATATATAGTCGTTATCAATTTGTTTTAAAGCTCAATAAATAACAAAGAAGACCTTTGACCGGCACTTTTCTAATTTTGTCTAAGATTTCAACTTTAACGGACATGTTGACCGGCGAGAAAAAATGAAGGGCAACCAGGCAACCATGGCAACCATGCTTGGGTGGTCTTCTTCGCTGCT